CTGTAGTCATCAAAGCAAGATCATTCTGAGAATTGTTACGCTCTAGTGTAAGTTGGTTAACATGATTTTGTAAAGCAATATTTTGCTGTCTAAAATGATTGACATCTTGCTGTAATTGTACTATTTGCGCATCTCGAGCATCTCGTTGATTTGTAACATCATCTAAATCCTGGTCTATTCTTTGATAATTAGCCCAAATAGTATTTAAAGTGCCATACATACCTTGGATAATATTGACAGGATTAATTAAGGGTGTACCCCCCGTGAAATGGTTTTCAAGGCGATTTAATCCTCTAGTGATATTTATAAAGGGGTCTATATGTGCCATATCTGTATCTTCTTCTGAATTATATAAGATAGGAGAGCTTCTTCTTGAAGAAATAATTTTGAATCTAAGCCTTAGATTTTGAACCCGCTCTTCTGATTCTTGTAATTGCTTCTCTATAATATCAGTATAGGATACCTTATCTCGGATTTCCTTTTTAGCTTGATATAAGCTTCTTTTAAGGGACACTATCTCCGATCTCAACTCCGCCTTTTCTTCCTCCAAAGCATTATCAAGCCATTCCAGTTCTTTATTGAGGGATTGGATTTCTTTCTCACACTGGGTATATTTGTGCTCTAGCTCATTTATGTATTTCTCATTTGACTTATTGATTGAAACTTCGTTAGATAACTCATCTCTTAAAGCTTGATTTACCTGCTCCAATTCCAATTCTCGATTAGATACTGGTTCATGAGATATTCTCTTAGGATGTGGTCGATGAAATGCCATGGTTATTACGAAGTAATGAGACTCTGTCTCTATTTTTTTATTGTATAATATATCTCCTGACTTTGCTAAAACATTATAGTAAAGAATGATCCCTGTTATTTTTATTGATACTAAAAAAGTTCGTGAACTTGATATTGGTATTGCTCTTAGAAAATTATATTATCAACCTTCTGGTTATCAAAGAACTGCACAAAATCTTTTTAAAGCATCTTTGAAAGCTGGATATGATTTTACCATAATTGAAATTCGCAATTGGTTGCATAGACAATTATTATACTTGATTCATAAAGCTCGACCCAAATATATTCCGTGCGCATCATTTAATAAAATTACCATTCCAAATGAAGTTCTTCAAGCTGATATTATGTATATGCCATGGGATAAAATCGATAAAATTACTTATTTATTTTGTCTTACTGTTGTAGATGTAGCTTCACGTTTTAAGTGGGCTGTGCCTATTGGAACCACATTAGATATTTTAAATATGGATGATGATGACTTTTCTCTGGAAGGTATCTTAACATCGGCTGTGGTTGCAGAATGTTTCGAGAAAATGTTCAATGATCCTCAGTGTCCTCTTACTTGGCCTAAATTATTGTTAACTGATATGGGATCTGAGTTTAAAGGAAGTTGTGAAAAGCTTATGAAAGAGCATGATGTGAAAATTCAGAAAGCTAATTCAAAGAGTAGTATGGGTATTATTGAAAGATTTAATCGAACATTAGCTGAGAAATTATTTCGGATTCAAGATGCACATGAGTTATTGTTACCTTTACCTAAAAGATCTAGAGCTTGGGTTAAGAATCTTCCTATTATTATCAAGGATCTTAATAACACTGTAACTCGACTTCTTGGTATAATACCTAATGAAGCTATTAAAAAGAAATTTGTATATGCTAAAGCCTCAAAGCCAAGATATGGTCCTATAGGTTTTGATGAAGTTCGATTGACATATAATGATTCTGTTTTATATTTACTTCAACCTGGTGAATTGGAGGGCGGTAGAAAAAGAGCTACTGATTGTAATTGGTCACCTCAAATATATCATATCAAGGAATCTTTGCTACAAAAAAATCAACCAGTCTTATACTGGATTGAAGATATTGATGGGAATGGTCCAAAGCGGTCTTTTGTTCGAGAAGAATTGATGGTTGTCAAGAATGTTGAATACCCGCCTCAGAGAATACTCAAGAGTTAAGGAAATCACCTGCTTCTTCTTCGATTTCTTCATTAGTAGCAAAGTGGTTTTTGGCTAATTGATGATATAAATCACTAAGTTTTAATACAGCTTGAAGAATTTTTGGTTCATTTTTATACCATTCCTGATATTGACTTTTCATTGATATATATTTATCCTCATTAGGGTATATTCTCTTTGCATTGTTCAAGATATAAATATCTGGATCTTCAGCTTGATGTAATTCAGTATATCGCTTTTTATAATTTTGCATAAACTTGCCATCCTTTTCTTTTTTATAATAGACGCCTGCTTTTACTATATTAACTATAGCTTTTTCAATATCTTGCCAGGTTGGAATAGAGGACTTAGCCTCTGTAGATACTTGATCTTAATAACACTGTAACTCGACTTCTTGGTATAATACCTAATGAAGCTATTAAAAAGAAATTTGTATATGCTAAAGCCTCAAAGCCAAGATATGGTCCTATAGGTTTTGATGAAGTTCGATTGACATATAATGATTCTGTTTTATATTTACTTCAACCTGGTGAATTGGAGGGCGGTAGAAAAAGAGCTACTGATTGTAATTGGTCACCTCAAATATATCATATCAAGGAATCTTTGCTACAAAAAAATCAACCAGTCTTGTACTGGATTGAAGATATTGATGGGAATGGTCCAAAGCGGTCTTTTGTTCGAGAAGAATTGATGGTTGTCAAGAATGTTGAATACCCGCCTCAGAGAATACTCAAGAGTTAAGGAAATCACCTGCTTCTTCTTCGATTTCTTCATTAGTAGCAAAGTGGTTTTTGGCTAATTGATAATATAAATCACTAAGTTTTGATACAGCTTGAAGAATTTTTGGTTCATTTTTATACCATTCCTGATATTGACTTTTCATTGATATATATTTATCCTCATTAGGGTATATTCTCTTTGCATTGTTCAAGATATAAATATCTGGATCTTCAGCTTGATGTAATTCAGTATATCGCTTTTTATAATTTTGCATAAACTTGCCATCCTTTTCTTTTTTATAATAGACACCTGCTTTTACTATATTAACTATAGCTTTTTCAATATCTTGCCAGGTTGGAATAGAGGACTTAGCATCTGTAGTCTCAGAGAGACATTGCTTTGCAATAGATACTTGATCGATATTTTGAATAGTAGTTGACATTTGAATATGTGTTATGTTTTGATTATCTAAAGTTTTATATATTAATAATATAAAAGTTTTTGTTTAAATAATTATTTCACTATATATAAAAAAAAATGATTGGTGAATATACTTGTCCATTCTATCATAATTCCGGTGAAGTTTGTGGAAGAACTTGTATGAGATCTGAAGGGTGTAGTTATCATTGGAAAGCTAAAAGAAGAGTACCTTGTAGTGAATGTGGTAAACCAACTGGTTCAACTTCTGGCAGATGTCCATTGCATATTAGGGGGTATTATGTTATCCAATACTATAATAGATTACATGCTAGGGCTTCAAAAATGTCTTCTCAATAAGTGAAAAATCTGGCTCAAATTTTATTAGACTTAGCGTATATCAAAAATTTTTTATTAGACTTTTTCATTAGACTTAGCATATATATATATCGAAATTTTTATTAGACTTGGCATATATGTATAATTTTTATTAGACTTTTGTGTGCCAGAAAAGACAGAAAAGTAGTGAAGAATCGGCTTTAGATTGAATTCTGCTATATCAAAAAAAATGATATCATTCTTGATATGGATTTGGATAAAAGATTGTGTTCTAGATGTATGAAAAAATGATATGCTATTTGGTGTTTTGCGTGGTTTATTGATAGCAAAATGATTAGTGATAAAAATCATTATCCTTTTTGATATGAATTTGGGTAAAATAATGTATTCTAGATGTATGAAAAAATGATATGCTACTTGGTATTTTGAGCTTTGAATTGATAGCAAAATGATTAGTGTTAAAAATCGTTATCCTTTTTGATATGAATTTGGGTAAAATAATGTATTCTAGATGTATGAAAAATGATATGCTATTTGGTGTTGTTGTGTGTGAATTGATAGCAAAATGATTACCACTGTGCCAGAACACCCATTTTTGCCCTACTTATTCCTATCATCAATTTCTCAAAATTTCTGTCCGTCATTTCCCGAAGGGTACTGAGACGTAATCTTTGTGGGGGTAAATAAGATAATCTGATTGTATTGAACAACATTACAGTCCTCTTTGCCATTCTGACGATTTTTCCACTTCTATTGTAGTTGTGTTGACATCTTTGATGAATTTTCTTTTTCATAGTCGCAGGATATTCTTCGATAAATTTTCCCAAAAGATAATAATACTCAAAAGCATTACTATTCCTTATAACTTTTAATTTACCCAATATAGTCATTAATTGATTATCTTCATCTCCATCTATCCTGGGTAGTACTTTTTCATCAGTTTCGATATTTTGAATAGTAGTTGACATTTGAATATGTGTTATGTTTTGATTATCTAAAGTTTTATATATTAATAATATAAAAGTTTTTGTTTAAATAATTATTTCACTATATATAAAAAAAAATGATTGGTGAATATACTTGTCCATTCTATCATAATTCCGGTGAAGTTTGTGGAAGAACTTGTATGAGATCTGAAGGGTGTAGTTATCATTGGAAAGCTAAAAGAAGAGTACCTTGTACTGATTGTGGAAAGCCAACTGGTTCATCTTCTGGCCGATGTCCATTGCATATTAGGGGGTATTATGTGATCCAGTACTATAATAGATTACGTGCTAATGCAGACAACTGGGTAGATCCTCATAGACTCAATAATTCTGGATGCTGTATAAATCACTGTTTAATCAAAGATGGATTTAATCATTGTATTCATTGTTCCTCAGAAAATAATGACGAAAATCATGAACTTAGTTTTCAGGTTTGATAACAATATGTGAGTTGATAGAACCTTGATAAGTGAAGGCACTTCGAGCCATTGCTCTGCAATAAAAAACCTGGCCCAAATTTTGTTACCCTTTGATATATAATACGAAATTTTGTTACCTATGGACACATTTTTTGTTACCCTTTGGTATATATGGTATGAAATTTTGTTACCCTTTATGGTATATGGTCGCATTTTTTGTTACCCTTTGAGGTGTATGGTCACATTTTTTGTGCCAGAAAAGTAGTGAAGAATCGGCTTTAGATTGAATTCTACTATATCAAATAATATTGGTATCCTTTTTGATATTAATTTGGGTGAAAGAATGTGGTCTAGATATTCAAAAAAAATGATATGCTATTTGATGTTTTGCGGGGTGTATTGATAGTAAAATGATTAGTGATAAAAATTGTTATCCTTTTTGATATGAATTTGGGTAAAATAATGTATTCTAGATGTATGAAAAATGATATGCTCTTTGGTATATGGCGGGGTGATTTGATATGCAAAATGAATACCACTGTGCCAGAACACCCATTTTTACCCTACTGAAATTTTCCATCTTCACTATATCGTACGATTCACTATACAGTAGGTTCACTATATCGAGCGCCGACTGTAATATATTTATTTTTCAACATTAATTATTATTTTCATTAAATATGATAGGTTCATGAAGCCACCTTTCCAAATCTTTC